AGGGCTTGGGAACACACAGGACACCATCCACTTATGTCGTGGTTTCCCCATTGGCATCATACTAAACTAAGTGAACGAGAGAACGAGTATCGTCATTAAGCAATTCCGCTTGTAAGCGTGTTGAACGATCGAAGAAGGGACGTGCGATATCCGAGAAACTTCTCTCGCACTCATGTTTATTATACGTATACGTATAAGTGCATATGTATATGTATCACCGATCTCGAGTACATTTTTTTTTGTTGCTTTCAGAAAGAGAGACGGGCAAAATATCACGCCGTAGTCTCGTAAGCGTGAATTTCGTGCAATCAATTTTCGTAAGATGCATTCAATCTCGTTAGTGAAAGAAAAAGAAGAAAAAGTCGAATCGATAAAATTCGTAATAATAATAATAATAATTCGTAGACGATAAAAGTAAAGGTACTTATTGTTTGAACGAAAAAAAAGAAAAAATAAAAGAAAAAAGAAGATAAATAAAAGGGTAAAAATCTTTTTAAGCGATGTAATTCGTTCGATCGTGTAAGAAATAACAGAGAAAAACTATGAACTTAAAATAGAGAAAACTATCTTGAAGAAAGTACGTGATATACTTAGAAGCAATCTAAGAGTTTCAAGCAATGCTATAAAAAGGTAGCAATTAGGTCAGAACGCGTTAACATCGAATTCTCTGGTTCAAGATATCAAGTTCAAAAGAGAGAATATAGGTGGGTAGTACCCGGAAAGGTAGTAAATGCAATTATCGTTAGATCATAAAAAGGAGAACGGTGGTCGATCTTACGAAAATCTGTGACGAGGGAGGGGAGGAAAAGGGAAAGGATTGGGAGAGAAAAAAAAGCCAATTTCCCGTGGAAACGAGCCTCCGTGTATTTTCTCTTGGTGACTTTTCGAAACAATGCTATAATTACGTTTCGAGTAATTACATTCGCAATGAAGACAAAACGACATCTCGGCAAGTTTTCCGCGTGACTTCGTTTCATGGAATTTCCGGGTAAAGATTCGCGTTAGGAAACGCGGAACGAGTCGGTATCGTTGACTCAAAAGCAAGCTTGATTAAAGTTTAATGCGTCTTTACGAGGCAGTAAAAAGGACGATCGCTGAAACTCTATGGGAAAAGCCATGGAATCGTACTCGTACTCGATTACAAACCTAACCGAGACCACGATGATAGACTCCTTAACGACGCTACGAATTTTCTACGATAGAGTAACCCCATTTCTCGATAGAACACACGATCTTTCTTTCTTTCTTTCTTTTTTTCTATCTTCTTTACTCTATTCCAGACAAGAGCGAACGATTCTTCTGATCACCCATCACCAATCGTTACGCTCGAAAGAATCCAATTTAATCGAAAGTATTCCCAAGCAAACTTTCATTCTTCAATTCTACGCGAGTCGCGATTTCGCGCGAAATTAATCTCTCGGTTGGCGGATAAATCGAACGAAAACAAGGATTTTTTTTATTAAGAGTAATAAATAAAAATATCATTACCTTTTTTTTTAATTTTAAATTTAATAATTTTAAAATATTTGACAAAAATTTCGAATTAATATTTAATAAATGTTATATGTTATAAAAGATAAATGTCATAAACTATAATCATATAATATCTATCTGAATTCTCCCTAATATTTCGAAACAGTCACTTCCATCGTATCAAATAGCTTAAACCCGCGGCGTTTCTACTGTCAAACCCACAAATTCAACTATAACAAATTTATTTCCGTTCCCTTTCGATGATCCGTGTTAGTGTTGATTATGTCCCTTTTAAGGATTACGCATCCCCTTAGGCGAGAGGGACGCAAAATTAGTATACCTTGTTACGCGGTTACGTAGCCTGTTCGTTAAGCAATTTCTCATATAACCGCGAGATGTGCAGTTAGATGGGCGGATATTCAATATCGGTGAACATTTCTCTCTAGAGAAGAGTGAGAAAGGGGTTGGGAGGTAAAAGGAAAGGGAGAGGATCGAAGTGTACGAGTGTATCTCTTCGTTATATTATGTTAGTATTACATACACATATATATTCATATATATATAATAATAATATACGTATAGAGAGATAGCTTTGTACTCGCCAATCCTCGTAGCCCGTTACACACGTCAAAGACGAGGAATTAGTAATCAAATACGTGCTTCGTTGTATACAATTACGTTGAACACGCTAAGAAGAAACTTAATCAAGATTATAATATATCGGAGCCATGCTGGAATGCAGGGTGTACAACAAGAAAAAAATCGGAAAAACGATGCTCTTCTCATCGCTTCCGCGTATTCCGGTGCAACGAACAAGAAGGGGGATACCTTCGGGGAAACATTGATCCCCCTTACCCCACCTCACCCCATTCTACGTTATTTATCCCATTTCAACTTTTTATTTCTCTCCCACTTTTTTCCTCTTTTCTTTTTATTTTAACACAAAATGCCAATTCATTTCGAAGATAATGCGTCGATCGATTCGAACACACTTGCAAGAAGATTAATAAGTTCATTGCTTAAAGTGTTCTTTTAGCGAGTTATACGATTTCTTTTATTTTTATATTCTTGTGTTAATTTAACGATGTCTCCTTAAATAACAAACGACATTATTAAAACAATTTTCCATTAGCATATTATATCGTGTAAATTTAATTGAAAAACATATCATTATCTTACGTTTAACACGAAACTATTTTAATGGAATACACAAAATAGAATAATCCTAAAGCAAAGAGAGATTCGCGATAAAATTTGAGAGCGCGTACTTTTCGTTAAAAAGTTAAAGAGAGAGAGAAAAAACGAACGAGAAAAAAAAAACAAACAAATATTTGGATAAATAAGTTGGCAAAGAAAAAGGAAAAAGAAAAAAGGAAAAAAGAAAAAGAAAAGTTGGCGTCTCTCCCCTATTTCTCTCACACTCTCTCATCGAGTTCTCTTTCACTCTTTCCTTTTTTTTTTTCTTTTTACTCATTCACCAATCGAACGTCCCCGAGGATGAATATTATCGAAGCGTATTTGAGAGAAACGCCTGAAAAGTTTTCTCTATTCGCGCCATCGTTAAATATGTTTCCGGAGGGTCGGTCTTAATAATACCAAGCGTCTCGAGAGTCACGACAAAGCAAGAACCACCCCCATCGGCGAGGCCACGAGCACTTTGACACCGATGTGTAGACTGTCTCTTATTCTTTTCCCTTTTTTTTTTTCTTTTTTTTCTTTTTTTTCCTTTCCTTTCCTTTCCATTCCTTTTTTTTCCTTTTCTCGCGTTCTCTGCAATTCTACCCAACGTGAGTATCCTTCCCCCACCCCTACTCCCACCCCCAGACTCACTTCCGTCGCTTTGCCTCTTCCGGTCCGTTTCACCGGACCGTTTCCTCTCTCTCTCTCTCTCTTTTTTTCTTCTTTTTATCATTTCTTTTCTTCTGTTTCTACTACTTTTTTTTTCCTTTCTTCTTTGACTGCTCCTTTACCCATGCCACCATAACTACGAAAGCTCTAACGAGGAAGAGCTTTACGACAGTAGACGAGTAATTAGGAGACTCGTGCTCGTTGAAGGAAACAATCGGCCAGAATCAACAGTGGCGTTGTAATAGCTAATTGTAAATCGTACCAACCAACCCTTTCTCTTATATATATAGTTATTCTATATAGGTATTCGTATAAAGGAACCGCTCGGACGTGATAATCGTTTCGCTGATTTTTTTGGGGAATTTTTCTCGTCTCCTTTTAGCTTTTCATCTCGAGATCCTTTTCGAATTTATTTTCGATCCCCCTTTATTGTTGTTGCTTTTTTATTTTTATTTTCACGTTTTCCCTTATCTTTTCTAACACTTTTTCTTGTTCTTTTTTTTTCTTTCTTACTTTTTAAATGAGATTTAATGAGTAAAGATTATTAAAATCACAGTAGTAGATGCAGCTTTGGGCTTCGAAAATCGTTTTGAAAATCGTGGATCGTTGACACACAGCTTGTCTCGTATTACTCATTTGCTTTTTTTTTTTTTTAGAAGAAACGTACCTACTAATTAGCAGTTGCGTCTGTCTCTCCTCGTTAAGCCGATGCCGAGCGTGACAAAATAAAGAACGTTAGTCGGTAGTTTTGTATAAAGCTTTAAAAAGCACGTCAAGTATAATATCTCTCGATGCTTTTCCCAAAATATTCTCTTTTATTTTTCGGCCGAGAAATTATCTAATAATATAACGTAACGTTTAAACAATTTTCCTATTCGTTTGTTTGTCAATCAAAAACTACAAAAATATGTAGACAAACTTACACATACGTATGTACACATAATTGGATAAATATATAACATTATTGTTTAATATAAAACGCGTTAATAAAATTATCATTTAAACGAATATACATCTATCCGGATTCTTAACAATGTTTATTATAACCAAATTGTATGAATTTAGTCATCCGATAGATGCGATTTTAGTATTATCTGCTCGTTAAACTTTAAAGGGGATGATTCCATTTGTTCTCGGACATGTTATATGTTTTGAGGGTGGAGAAAAGTGAAAGCATTTCGATTTTCCACAAATGTTTTTTTTACGATTAATGTATATCACAGTATATATGCATATATTTTAATAATTCATATATATATTGAATTTACTTAGATCGCAAATTTTTAAAATGATGTTTGTATAAGGCGAATTTGCAATAAATGCAGATTAATTGTGATCGATAAATTAAGTGGCAATATGCTCGCGGATATCGCCACAAGACCACGAAGTAAAATTAATCCAACCACATTCGAGCAATGTGTTCAATGCTGGGTACGTAATCGTGAGATAATGCATGCTGCGGTAGAGGGTAGTAGAGAGATAAGTAGTATGGTGTAAATTCTATCCAATCGAATTTTGATGCTCAATATATAGCTTAACATCGTTAACCGTATATTACGTACAAAAAAAAAAAAATATTATCCATATAATAAATACTCGACGTATATCTGTAGAAAATTTCCATGCAAATCATTTATTTCTTTCTTACATTCCTTACTTTCTTTCTTTCTTTCTTACAGACCGATTCGCTCTCTCGTTGGTATCCAAGTATAGCGGAAGTTGTGCAGAAAATGTTACAGTAAGTACTAATTATGTTAACTTACGTGCAACCAAATCGTTTTTGTTTAAAAGTCTTTTTAAACGATAAGAAAAAAGAATAGCAGTAAATAATAGTACGATTACGAAACAAGTTCTCGGTATGACTCTCACTTTTCGTAATTGCCCTTATGTACTAAATACGTTTAGTCAAAGTTGTATTACATAGGTTTGCAAGTACCTACTTACCTTGCACGTATACGGGGAGGGAGGAGGGGGAGGAGGAGAGGGAAGTTAACAAATAAAAAAAAAAAAAGGAAAAGAAGGAACTTTTTTAATATACCGCACACCTAATGATATATTATTAAGGGATATTCTTTGAGGCATACATCACGGGTCGTAGAATTTTCACGACGGTTCGTCGGCAATGGCAGCCCAGCCCTTTTGCTCGAAACCGCCGACTTTAGCAAGCGACTTTTAATGCCGCTCCGTGGCACATTATTCAACCGGCGATGTAAAGTAGAGGAACACGTGTAAAGGTCGGCCTTTAAAACGCCTAACCGAGACCTGCCAACCTTCCTTTGGCTGCGTATATACGCAGGTAAGTATCAGCATTGCTAGCAGCAACAAGTATACGTGAGCATATCGCATATATCACGAGTTTAAGTACCGAGCATGGCACTTTCGACCTTGAAAACTTGAACCACCCAGTCGTCGTGATTTCGGTGTACAATTGCCAAAGAACAAATTTTATTCCTTCTTCTTCTCCGATAGTTTTTTCTCATTGTATTCGAAGGTTCAATAATTTTGTCCTAAAAAGAGAGAAAAAAAGAATAATAATAATAATAATTTTTAATGTTAATCATATTTTTAATATGTTTGATGGGAATTGAAGATCGACGCGTATGGAATCGAGAACAATTTGTTAATATTAAAAATTCATTCTTTCTTTTTTTTGTTTTCCATTATTTAAAAAACAAAATGCAAAATAAACTAATACGTATCGATGCGTATACGAAAATTTCAGTCGAACGGAGAGACGATAAATGTACTACTATGTTCTCGTATTATCCAATGAATAAACAAGAAAGAAAAAGTTTTATTATTGCTACTCTGTCATCGTTAATAACATTATTTGAAATGAAAACAAACAGATGGATTCGTTGCATAAACGTTTCATTTTTGAGCCATGCAACTTATTCCGTTTGATATTACGTATAATAAATAAATATTACTTATTTACGTTGAATAAAGCAAATACATTAAAAATGAACATCAAAACATAAGGGGAACATTCGATGAATGCATATATCTATGCACCAAATAAAGTCATTGCCATTTATATATATATATATATATATACGAACACAGATATTAATATATATTTTAATGGAAATTTATTGCACGTGTTAAACTGTAATAACAACATTCTACAAAATATCATATAGAACTGGCAAATAATCGCGAAAGGGATGACAATTTTTGCGTTTCGTTTAGATCGTTTAAAAATCGCTATGAAAAATGATCGATTTTGTGATTAACGTTTGAACAAAATAATTCCCGACAAACCCTCCCTTGTTAAATTTTTTCGTATAAAGGTCAAAGCAAACGAATGAGAATTTTTCTCAAGAAAAAAATAGAAATGGAAATATAAAAAAGGGTAGACATGATTCGACAAGCAGCGGGAGGGGATGGGGAGGGGGTCGTTTCAACGAGACGCGAGAAAATACAACGAGTTTCGGAGAATATTCTATTTAAATGCCTTTGACGCGGGAAAAAGCAAGTAGACGAGTGAAGAGAAGAGAAAAGAAGACGAGACGAAGAAAAAGAAAAAAAGAAAAAGAAGAAGAAAAAGAAGAAGAAAAAGAAAAAGAAGTAATGTTTTGCTCCTTTTCGATTCAGCCCACGATATGTTCGCTGATTTAACGACGTCCGTGGGAGCCATTGTGCGTGCTCGCTTCTTCTTCTTCTTCTTCTCCTGCTTCTGCTTTTCCTTCGTCCTTAAATCCCCGATCGTTATTCATCGTCTATTCGAAAGAAAAAGAGGAGAGAGGGAGAGAAAGAGAGAGAGAGAGAGAGAGAGAGAAACAGTCTTTTTAAATCCAAGAATAAAGCAGATAAGATGAAAGAAGGTTTATGTATTTTTAATAAACATCCATTGTCGCTTTCTTAATAATTTCCTGAATATCTGACGACGAGTTTGTTATATTATATTAAACGAAACCCGTACAAGTTTCTACAGAGACGGGTTTGACGTTCAAATATCTCGAAAATTGTTCCTTTGTGAATATACAGACCGGGGTATACAAACGGACCATGGGGGAGGGAGGGTTCGTTCTAACGTGCACAAATAATTCGGAATAGAAGAGTTAACGTTATTTCGTGTCAGAATTCCTTTTTCAAGATAATCAACCATTTTGTCTATATATATATATATATATTGATATTTTCAAAGCTCGATGAACTAAGGTTAATTAAACAAAAAAATGAATAATATATATATAAACGCATCTAGAAAATATTTTCAGTTTATAAACGATGATCGGACAATGTATGAGCGTACTTACCGCAACGGGAGATAATGCGGGAATGAAAGGAAAAAAACTAAAATGAATAGAATGAAAGTAAAAAGAAAGAGAGAGAGAGACAGATAAAGGAAGAATATGAATAAATGAATCGTTCGTTTCGTAAGGTAGATGATAGATGTTCAAAGGGTGGAAAAGAAACGTAAAAGAAAGAGAGAGGGTGGGACAGAGATAGACGAAAGGGGACAGAAGTGTGTAAGCGCGTGTAAGAGAAGGATAGAAAGAGACAGAGAGAGAGAGAGAGAGAGAGAGAGAGAGAGATAAAGATATGGAGCAATAGGCGAATAAAAGCTACGTCGAGCAGATGGCTGGTATGGCCATTAGCTAATGGATCCCTAACACCAGTCCACAAGAGTCATCCGCCACGAGGTACAAACTGGGAGGTAGTTACATCCACGAAACGCTGTTCCTACACCCTTTCACTACCTTCTAGAAGTGGTGGTAGGAGATGGGAGGTAGGAGGGATAGTGGGAGATCGAAAGAGGAGGGTTTGAGAGCTGTTTGGTCTGCATAAAGCCGGCAAAATCACGCGGATAGCAATCGTGCTAAATCACAAACCGACTATGCTACTACTACTACAACGCTTTTCCGTCCACAGCATCCGAGCTTGCATCAATTTCTGTCTCTCACTCTCTTTCTGTATTTTTCACTCTTTCCAACTAGTATGTTTTTACATGTACGCTCGTTTTTACATTGCTCTTTTCGAGATCGAGCACAGGTGTGTATCGTACGTTCGATTTCAGATGATTTCCAATCACTTAACTCGAGTCTTTCATAGAAAAAGAAAAAAAAAGAAAAATAAAGGGGAAAGTATAGAAGAAAGGGAAAAGAAAGAGATAGCTACTTAAGTGTGAGAGGAAACCAATTCTCACGTTTGTTACGATAAAACGAGTGTTCGTTCGTATTTTCTTTTTTTCTTCTTTTTTTTTTTTCCTTTTTTCTTTTTTTACTCTCGACGCGAAAAATATCGGCATTTGAGAACTTAAAAGGCATGCTCGGATTCGAATAAGTAATAATAATAATAAAAATCGATTGGAATAATACTTATTTATATATTACGATATTAGCTATACTTTATACTAATAGCTGATAATTTCTTCAGTTTTCTTGTTTTCTTTTTTTTATTTTTCTTTTTTTTTTCTTTTTTAGGGTTCGTTTATTCAACGGTAATAATCGTAGAAAAAAATTAGCCAACTTATTAACACTTGCAGTAAAGTTAAACTAGTATCGGTAACACGTTAAAGTTATTATTAGTGTCTACTATTAGCATCTACCGGTTAGAACCAATATTATTATATGGAGAATAACGAATTTAACAGAACACGATGCAAGCCGGTAGATTCGATCAAATCTACCGGATTACCGAGATAATACATTTTTGCAATCGCTTATCGCGTTTGTAATTAATGGTGGTAGAAAATAATTAGTTTAATCCCCGGTTTACCCTAAGCACGCTTCCGCAATAGCTAAGAACTTAATACCCAAACTGCAAAATACTAATTGTATAAAGTAAATTTATGTACTCTCCAGTATCGGATGTAGATATTAACGTGTATCAAATAACGTGTATTACCGTGGGTACATTAAAAGAGATTACCGGAGTGCTTATAACAACGAAAATAAATTTTCCTTTAACCAGTGATAACGACTGAAATTTGTATAATATCCATTATTTCCATCGTAAACACTAGAAAATATTCTTTATCAACTAGCTAAATACTACAAGCCGATACGAGCCCATCTCTTCCTCTTCCTCGACCTCCCCCTCACCACTCCTCCCTACGGCCCGTAAACTTTGAAAGATAATTAGGTTACTTTGATGTCCTTTCTTAAGTATACTCGTTAACTGTTTCTAACAATAAATTCTGAAACTCGTTAAAATTTAATGAATCGCACTGAATGCGTGGCGTGGCGTGGCGAAGCTTACGGTTTTCAATAAAAGAAGAAAAAGGTAGGCAAACAATAAAGAGAAAAAAAAATGAAAAAAAAAGAAGGATATGAAGAGTAAAGAAAAAAATCAAAAGGATCTAACTGGACTGACGGAACAATGTTACACACGTGCGTCTGGGTTATATGTACGTGCATGCACGAGACCGGAAGAGGGTGCTCAGTAATTCCGATGTACCCCCAATTACCTAAAATAACTCGATTCAAATCTCTCCCTATCTCTCCCTCTCTCTCTCACTCTCTTTCTCTTTCTCTCTCTCGATTCTTCTCTCTATAATTAGTGCACCGATCGGATCGTGTAGTCGTCGATGCGTGACTTCGGTATCACTTTCCAATTTGTGACGGTATAAACGGCGAGTAACGAGAGTCGTCGTTACGATCATCGATCAGGCGTAGAACATCGGGACGTGACGAGTGAACACGTTAATTGAACCTTTCGAATACGACTTTGTAATCGTACCACGGATTCTGTCAGTTATTATCGAGTATTTTGACGTGCCGAAGAAAACAA